GAAAGACACCTTAGCAGTATCAAAAATGTAGAGTTGGACAGGGTTGAACTCGCAACCCACACGAGGCCCGTGAACCAGTTAAAGAGCATCAAAGTACAATGGAACCCCGTTAATACGGTCACCAACTGGCCAAGAAAATCTGGCCGAATTAATTTTGTTCGTATTAACGGGATAGGGCCAAACCTCGTGCCTGCGAGGTGAAATTTAGTGACGTCTCAGCAGCAGATATATCACAGTTACACTTGCAAACCATAACTGTTCTTTAATAAACATTCGGAATGCAGATATAATTGTAAAAAAAAAAAAAAATCGAAACTTGAATCAGTAGCTATCAGTGTGTAAAATATTAGCCGCAATGGAAAGATGAACATAACTGGTTTGAGTGGCCGTATGAACGGGGTAAAATTTCAAAGGATTGTGGATGTTGCCCGGGAGGGTACTCCCAGAAAAGTTGGGTGGGGGTGTGCGGAACACTTCCAAAAACCCTCACTCTATTTATGACTAAAATCGGCGACTTTTGCTACCCTTTTTATGATCTGCCCAAAACTTCGATACCCTATTTAATGACCGTTGCCGCAGCTGGCACAGTTGCTTTAAACATACGTTATGAAGGGATTTTGTTGACGGTCTTATTGATAATGATGAAAAAGTAGCGTCTTCCAAGAAACATACCCAATTCAAGACTAGAGTGCTAAACCATACCCTATTTAAGATCTAAATGGCCAAAATAATCGATACCCTGTCTCTTTATCGTTCTCCTGGGAGCAAGCAAGAAACTATGTTTCTTGGAGCGAGCAAACACAAAAACAGGCACACACAGAAAAACAAACAAAATTGAATCAAACAATCCACGTTATTAATATACGGTACAATTTACATTCAAGAGCTTGTGAGGCCGTGTATAACTATTTAAAAGGAATGCTTGAAAGTATAAATTCCCGTAAAGATTACAATATTCGACTATTACTAAAATACGTTAAAACTACCTGACCAGTACGTTAAAAACTAACTAGACTCTTTATTTTTTCTTTCTTTTCTTTTCATGTTAATCATAAATTAATTACATACAATACTAACATTACTTACACTACTAACACTTCTTACAATACTAACATTACCTACAGTACTTACATTATTTCCAATACTATCATCACTTACACCGTTGCTGACATTACTTATAATACAACCATTACTAACCCTACTACTACTACTCACAATACTATCGTAATTTACACTACTGATACTATTCACAATACCGTGGCTTACAATATGTAATGAACATTATTTTCAATAGATGGCATTACCACTCCCCCNTCACAGCCGGTAAGTTTGCCCAGTGCCAGGCCCCTCATGAAACACCTGCTGTATTGCTAACCAGCGACAATACGAAGCAACTAACTAAACCAGCAACTAAGCTAACGACGCAATTAATAATAAAGATAGATTATAATAAGGGAGACTTCTTACTTCTTTTTTTTCGTGGTTTGTCTTTATCGTAACAGGAAACGTGGTAAAGCCAAAATGTGTACAGTCTTGGCATGGCAGACCATGTGCGGTCAGTCAGATAAGGCCGACGGTATATTCAGTCAAGTTATTGGCAGCTTCAATCCATTTTGCAGCAATGACAAAGATCCATGGGAATCAGCACCTGATGCTTGTTCCGCTGCTGATTATAGCCGAATACCTTATAATATTCCTTCTTGTGCTCGTTGTCCAGGAAGCTGTTGAATCGATGTTGTAATCTTTCACTTAAGTATCATTAGATTAAACCATAATTAGTGCCTCTTTCCTTCCAGGACTAGTTGGGTGGGCAAGATCGCAAGCGCGCGGGAATACGAGAAGACGCGACACGCGGCTGGCGTTTTTCGAACGTATTCACCACTAATCCGAATCGTGATAAAATAGAGGAACTAATAATAGTTTACCCAACAGACTCTGTGCTGTAAGAATTATTTCATTAGTTGCACAGCTCATATACATTATTGTCAATAGACTAAGAGGGCGTTACCACCCCCCCCCAACCCCCATAAAAAAAAACATCAAGCTTATTGCTAAAGAGCACATAGAACAACAACTTATGCTGGCAAATTTGTGGAGTAATAAAGGGAAATAATTCTATATCAGACTCATCTATTTTTGTAGTTGAAACAGCGGGATTTTGGTTTTGACAAGTTTTGTTTGGTGGTCGAGGAGACAAAATTGGAAATCTCTCGGATTATAATTTCTTAGCACTGACATCTCTGTGTCCGATAGGAATCAATCAATCAATCAATTTATTAAAGGTTATTGCGCGGGATTGAGGTTGCCCTCAGTATCCGAGCCAGAGGCTCATGCATAAAACGCATGACTAAAATAATCCCATCTGAAGGGGACGGAGGAATCCCATCTGAAGGGGACGGAGCTCCCGGGGGGGGGAACTCCCATGAAAAAAGGACGAGGGTGCTCGCCGGAAATTTTGAAAAGAAGCCCTTAGAGGTACCAAGATCATGTCTTGTGGGCGTGGCTCGAAATAAATTTCGCCCCTGAGAGGTACCATCTCTTGAACAATACATTATCCCCTGTTGTATTGTTTTTAGGCCCAATACCCTAAAAGGTACTACAAAAGCTCCCACTGTGAACCTTTTGAGGCTGAATTCCCTTAGAGGTACTAAAACTATTCTTTTTTTTTACCCCCTAAAAGGTACAACGAGCACCACTGCCATTTTTCAAATGTGAGTCAATCTCGTTTAAAGCTGGTTTTCACCAGCGCCGTAGTCGTAAGAGAGCTTATGACCTAGTGAAAATCAAACATCGGAGTCGTAAGCGGAGTCAGCAGCTCAACGGAATCAGAGTCAGAAGAATCAGAACGTTTCTATTTCTTCCAATTCCGTTTACGACTCCGTCACTTATGATCCAGTCAACCACAAGCCCCGGAACCGAGCATTGTGATTGGTTTATTCTTCGCTTCCGAATCCGACAATCTAGTTTTCACTAGATCGTAAGCGATGGGGTCATAAGCGGAATCGGTGGTCTGCTTCCGACTCCGTCAGTTTCATTTTCACTAGATCGCATCACTCTACGTTTCTCATTACGACTCCGACTACGACTCCAACGCTAATGAAAAGCATCCTTCAGGAAGCGAATATAAAATTGCTAAGATGATTTTGGTCTTACTAAGGGTTAGGACAGAGCGTTTAAGTATCCCCCTATTAAGATATCTTCTCTAGTTAATGGTTTAGATAGATCATTCTGTATGGCATGGTAGGCAATGTTTTTTTTATTACTGAGATAGGGGGTGTGGAGTGTGGAGCAGATTTTTACGACTAACGGTTAATTTATTTTCCTATAGGTAACGGAAACCTCAAAAATTACCTAAGTATTTTTTTAACTATTCCATTTTTTATACCTTTGGGAAAGAGAGAGAGATAATGAACCAAACAAGGAGCGTTTTAATACGCAGTTCTGTTCAACGAGGAAAACCTGCAACTAACTTGGCATCCTTCACAAGGTCAGCAAAATCTATTTTTTCCACGCGATTATCCACTTCACTATCTTCAATGCTATCATTTCGGAGTTTGGAGCATGTTTGGCTCAAAATAATATGG